TCCCCCCCTTTTAGTTCCCCCCCATCCCATCCCAGCATGTGATCCGTTCTCTCTCTGTTCCCACAGCCTGACGCTTCCCGATGTCCTGGGCAAGGCCTCCAGCACCCAGCTGGACCAGCACCTGTTCCGTTTCCGCAGCTCCCACCTGGAGCAGATCCTGCAGGCGGCCCTGAGGCTCAAACACCACGAGTGCAGCCTGGCCCCGCTCCTGGAGCAGGGAGAGGACTGGCTGAGCCGCCTGCACAGCATGGCCCAGGAGGTGACACTGCTGGGATAGGGATAGGGGGGGACACTGCTGGGATGGGGACATGGGGGGGACACTGCTGGGATGGGGACAGGGGGGGTGACACTGCTGGGGGGACACTGGCTGTGCCATCTCAGGGCCATGGCACAGAGGTGACACTGCAGGGTGACACTGTTGGGTGACACTGGCTGTGCCATCTCAGGGCCATGGCACAGAGGTGACACTGCTGGGTGACACTGCAGGGTGACACTGGCTGTGCCATCTCAGGGCCATGGCACAGAGGTGACACTGCTGGGTGACACTGTTGGGTGACAGTGCCATCTCAGGGCCATGGCACAGAGGTGACACTGCTGGGGTGCTCCTGGGGGCTCCCGTGCTCCCTGGAGGGGCTTGTTCTTCCCAGTCTCTCCACAGTGGTGTGTTCTGGTGGGAAGCAGGGATGGCGGTGTTGGATTCCCCAATCCATGGTTGTCCCGTGACTGGCAGGCGCCAAGTTTGGCTCCAGGGAGACCTGAGAGCCCCTTGCAGGGCCTAAAGGATCCCTGCCAGCTGTTCACTGTCCTGTTCCCAGCCCCAGAACAGCCTGCCAGACATCGTGATCTGGATGCTGCAGGGGGACAGGCGCGTGGCCTACGCCCGTGTGCCGGCACACCGGGTGCTCTTCTCCAGGAACATCCCCCAGTGCTGCGGCGCTGACTGCGGCAAGCTGCAGACCATCTTCCTCAAGGTACCCTGGGCTCTCTGTCCACGCTGGGGCTGGAGTTTTTAAAACGTTTTCCCCTGAGAATGGAGAGAAAATAAGGCAGGGAAACCTCAAACCCCAGCGCAGCAGCTCCAGGTTCACGGCTTGGGTTGGAAAGGTGGTGAAGACCATCCCATCCCATCCCATCCCATCCCATCCCATCCCATCCCATCCCATCCCATCCCATCCCATCCCATCCCATCCCATCCCATCCCCTGCCACGGGCACCTGCCCTTGGACACTTCCAGGGCTGGAGCAGCCACAGCTTCTCTGGGATTTCCACCCAGCTGGAGCTGCTCCTCCCCGGAGATACCTCAGCTGTGCTGCTGGAGGACTCCAGCTCTTCCCACATGGATCTACAGCAGATCCTGTGAATATCTCCCTGTATTCTCCAATTCCAGGGCAGTGAAGATTTGGCCCAGATGGTGCTTTTTTAGAAAATATTTCTTGTTTTTAAATTTTTTTACGTTTTTTTCCCCCCAATTCCTGACCCTCTGCCACCCCAGGAAATTTAAGCTGCCATTCCCCTGCCAGGCAGTTCCTGAGTTTCTCCCGTCTCCATTGACATTCCTTGGCTGGTGCCAGCTCGGGAGCAGAGAATCAGCACTGAACAAGCTCTGAAAAAATAAAGTCAAATAAAATAAACTCAGTAGAGTCCTGAAGCCCAAATCCAATTGGCAGCAAAAATGACCTAAAATCCGTATATTGGGTTTTTTTTTTTTCTATCCTTGAGCTCTGGATGGAAAACCAGCAGCACTTGGATTAGGGAAAAGTGGCTTAGAGGGAGAAAAAAGGGCAATGAGGAAAAATTCCTGTGGACTATTTCTATTTTTGCTGAATGTGTGGGTTGGGTTTGGTGTCCTGACCCTGAAAGATGTCCCTGACTTTGCCCCTGTCCCTGTCCTTGGCTTTGTCCCTGATCCTGACCCAGTCCCTGACCTTGTCCTTGTCCCTGACTCTGATCCTGTTTCTTTGCCCCTGACCTTGTCCCTGACTTATCCCTGTCCCTCCTGATCCAGACCTTGTCCCTGATCTTGTCCCTGACTTTGTCCCTCATCCTGACCTTTTCCCTGACCTTGTCCCTTTCCCTGTCCCTGATCCTGTCCTTGTTCTTGACTTTGTCCCTGACCCTGTCCATGATCCTGACCTTGTCCCTGACTTTATTCCTGTCCCTGACCTTAACCTGACCTTATCCCTGTCCCCGATCCTGTCCCTGACTTTGTCCCTCTTCCTGACCCTGTCCCTGCCTTTGTCCTTGTTCCTGATCCTGACCCTCTCCCTGCCTCCAACCACCGGGGCTTTGAAGCCGCCCAGGGTCACCTGGGAACACATTTTAGGGCCGTTGACAGCGGGACTGGATGATCCCGAAGGTCTCTCCCTGCCCTGATCCCCAGAGCTCTCCACACACTGTCCCAGCTCCCAGCTGTGCTCCCCCCCCGGGGCTCCATTCCCGCCCTCCCACGCGGAGCATTCCCGTTAATCCCCCCTGCCCGGGGGTGCTGATGGGGCTGTTCCCGGGCAGTACCCGCAGGAGGAGGCTCCGGGGCCGCGGATCCCGGCGCAGATCCGGGTGCGGCTCTGGCTCGGCCTGGCGGCGGACGAGAAGGAATTCAACCGCTACGCCGAGGGGAAGCTCTCCGTGTTCGCCGAGACCGTGAGTGCTCCACAGCCACGTCCCGGGACGGGGCCTCCCCGGGGTGGGCAGCACCTCCAGGGGTCACATCAGCCCCTGAAATCTGTGAGAGGAGGGAGCTTGTTCCTCCAGCATCCAGCCTGGAATGCTGAGGAGCGAATTGGGAATGAGCCATAAATCCACACTGTCCCTTCAGATCCCCGTCCAGCTGCTGGAGGGGAGGGAAGCTGGGGGTGCCCGTGGTGGTGTGGGGCTGCTGGGATGGCTTTTCCCTGGAGATCTGTCCTCAGGGTGGGGCCCTGCAGGGCTTGGTCGTGGGATTCTAAAGGATGACTCCTGGGGTTCTGCGCCTCGGACCCCAACCCTCACCTACTGTCACTCCCCCAGTACGAGAACCAGACGAAGCTGGCGCTGGTGGGGAACTGGGGCACCACTGGCCTCACCTACCCCAAGTACTCGGACGTGACGGGCAGGATGAAGCTGCCCAAGGAAAGCTTCCGCCCCTCGGCCGGCTGGGCCTGGGCCGGGGACTGGTTCGTCTGCCCCGAGAGGACGTGAGTGGGACGGTCCTGCCGGGGCAGGGGGGGCAGCCCAAAAACCACAGTGGGGACCAGGCTGGGGGAAAGGTCAGTGGGGAGGGCTGGGGGTCTCCGAGGAGGAGGAGGTTTGGGAGTGGGATCACTGGGAGGGATTTCATGGGGTTTGGGCTTGTCCAGAGGTCTCCTGGCAGTTTTTCTTGGAGTCTGAGGTGGAAGAGGTTTGGGAATGCTGGGGATGGCCCGAGGCTGTGCCGATACCCAGGAAGGTGGGATGGGCAATCCCTGGCTGGGATGTACCCTTGGGATGCAGGTTGCTCCACGAGGTAGAGGGTGGGATGGGGGTTCCCTGAGCAGGTGTGTCCCTGGAATGCAGGTTGCTCCATGAGGTGGAGGGTGGGATGGGCAATCCCTCACTGGGATGTACCCTTGGGATGCAGGTTGCTCCACGATGTGGAGGGTGGGACGGGGATTCCCTGAGCAGGTGTGTCCCTGGGATGCAGGTTGCTCCATGAGGTGGAGGGTGGGATGGGCAATCCCTGACTGGGATGTCTCCTGGAATGCAGGTTGCTCCATGATGTGGATGCAGGACACCTGAGCTTCGTGGAGGAGGTGTTTGAGAACCAGGTCCGGCTCCCTGGGGGGCAGTGGATCCACATGACCGACGCCTACACCGATGTGGTGAGGGAAAAGTGGGAATGCTGGAGCTGGGTACCACCCTGGGCTGGAAGTGCTGGAGATCAGGGGGGATTTATGGATTTTTTTTTTTGACAACACCCCTTTGTCCCACAGAACGGGGAGAAGGTCTTGCCCAAGGATGAGATTGAGTGTCCTCCAGGCTGGAAATGGGAAGACCTGGAGTGGGACACGGATCTCAACAGAGCTGTGGATGAGAAAGGTACCCGGGAGCACTTTTGGGGGCCCTCTGTTCATTCCCCATCCTGCTGGGATCATCCCCATCACCAGGGATGAGACCTGTCCTGGATCTCTGCTGGATCAGGAGAAGGGGGTCAGGCCCTGGGGGTGGGAATTCCCAAAGGCAGCGCTCTCCTGGCTGCTGGGATAGTCCAGGAACATCTTCCTAAATTCTGGTGCAAGAGGAGTGGAAAACATCAGGCCAGAGGTGCTCACAAGGGTTGGGGCGGCCCGAGGGAGGGAGAACAGTCCCCAGGCTGTAACTTTGAGCCAAGGGCCCCCACGGATCCACCCCCTGGACATCCCAGAGGGACACATCCAGTGGGTACCACTGTGGGCAGGAGCAACAAGCCGGGAAATCACCTGGGATCCGGACACACTGCCCTGCTGAGGCTCCCTGGGGGGGCACAGGGAGGCGGGGGGCTCCTCAGCCGGGTGTCTCCCGCTCTTCCAGGCTGGGAATACGGGCTGACCATCCCCCCGGAGCGCAAGCCCAAGGCCTGGGTGCCGGCGGAGAAGATGTACCACACCAACCGGCGCCGGCGCTGGGTGCGGCTCCGCCGGCGCGACCTGGAGCACATGGACACCTCCAGGAAGGTGGGATGGGCTGGAGGGGGGTGGCAGCCGCTCGGGGATGTGTCCCTGTCCTTCCCTGAAGTGTCCCCGCCCCTCCACGTGGAGGTGGCTTTGGCACAGACCTGGTTTTCCCCGAAGTTGTTGGCCCCGCTCTCTGCCCTTGAGAGTTCCCACCTGGAATGTCAACATCTCCCGGAGTAGCCACCACTCCAGAAGGGCTTGGCCGGGCTCTGGGGCGGGGTGGGGACATCCAGCGGTGTCCCAGAGCGCGGGAGAGCAGGGCTGGCCGGCTGTCCCCAGCCTGTCCCTGCCCCGCTTCCCTCTAGATGGTGCAGTTGGAGCGGGAATGGCTCCGCAGCTGCAGCTCCTCCCTCCCCCCCGCCGCTTCCCAAGGACACTTGTCTCCCTCTCCAGCACTTTTCCCGCATCACTGGGGCCGTGGGGAGCCCCTGGCACCCTGCTTGCTAACTCTGGGGAGGAAAACCTTCACAGCGTTGTGGCTGATGATCCGGGGAGATATTCCAGAGGGGACAGAGCCACGGGAAGGTGGAAAAGCAAAGGGAAGGCTGTGGAGGCACTGGATGTGGCCTCCTCCTTGCTCAGCATGGGAATCCCCCAGCCCAGCGACCCCACTCCCAGTGGGATTCACCCCAGGGGCTGGGGAAGGGCAGAATTCCCAGGGGTGGAGCCGGCACTGCTGATGGTTAATCCCTGGATGTGTCCCAGGCCAGGCTGGACCGGGCTTGGAGCAACCTGGGCTGGTGGAAGGTGTCCCTGCCCGTGGCAGGGGGTGCCACTAGGTGGGCTTTAATATCCCTCCCAACCCAACCCAACCCAACCCAAGCCGTTCCATGATTCTGTGATGCTTTTAAGAGTCTTTCCCAACCTGAACTGGGTGACCTTGGGGGTCTTTTCCAACCTAAACGTTCCTGTGATCCTCTCAACGATTCCATCACTCTGTTCCACGATTCCAAGCTGGGGAGGCACAGGGAGGACACGGGGTGGGACAACCGTGGCCGACAACACCCTGGAGACCCTGAATCCACGTTTTGTGCTGGAAAAGCCGGGTGGTTTTCCCGCTGTCACCTCCAGCGGGGCCGGGGGGGGGGCGGTGGCACCGACCCCGCTGAGCCCCGGCGTGTCCCTGTCCTGCAGCACAAGCAGGAGGAGCTGGATGGGGAGGGCTGGGAATACGCGTCGCTCTTTGGATGGCGCTTCCACCTGAAGCAGCGCCGGACCGACTCGTTCCGCCGGCGCCGCTGGAGGCGCAGGATGGAGCCCCTGGAACGCACCGGAGCCGCCGCCGTCTTCGCCCTGGAGGGGGCTCTGGTAGGGACCTCCTTCCCTTCCCCAATCCCTGCCTGGGAATGGGGGCAGCCGGGTCAGGTCGGAGCTCGTTATCAGCCGCTCCTTATCAGCTCATTCTCCCGCCCTCTTTGTTTCCTGATATCCCAGCTTTCTGGATTCCCTGATTCCCGGCTTTCCCGGTGACCAAAGGAGACCCAACCCCGCAGCCCAGAGCTCCTGTTCATTGTTTTTAAGGGTTTTTCCCCCCCTCCATTTGGCTTTTTCCCCTCTTTTCCTGCTCTGTCCGTCCCCGGGTGCCAGCCTGGTGGGAAGGTCACCCCTGGAGGTCTGGGATGCTGAGGGGGTTCCTCCTCTGCATCCGTGGACATGCTGCTCCCTCATCCGAGTCTCGAGTCTTGTCCTTGAGCTCTGCATGGAAAACCAGCAGCACTTGGAGGGGGTAACAAGTGTTGGAGTCTCCCTGAGCTCCCACTGATCCCACCCGGGGGTCCTGGTTGTCACCCACCCACCCTGCTGGTGGGACTCTGCCTCCTCCCCTTTCACCTTGGGTGGGATTCCCATCCTCAGAAATCCCTCCTTTTCCTTCCACTAAATATTCCAAGGCCAGTGGGGCAACTGGGAGGTGATGAAAGGCTGGGTCAGGACACGGTGGGAGGGAAGAGCCAAGGTCGGACTGGGGGAGAAGGGAATGGAGCTGGGAAGGGGCTGGAGCAGCAGGAGCAGCTGAGGGAACTGGGGGGGCTCAGCCTGGAGAAAAGGAGGCTCAGGGGGGACCTTCTGGCTCTGCAATCCCTGACAGGAGGGGGGAGCTGGGGGGGGGGGTTGGGCTCTACTCCCAGGGAACAGGGACAGGAGGAGAGGGAACAGGGAAAATTCCTCCTGGAAAGGGCTGTCCAGCCCTGGCCCAGCTGCCCAGGGCAGGGGGGAGTCCCCATCTCTGGGGGGACTTAACAGCCCTGTGGATTTGGCACTCGGGGACACGGTCAGGGGTGGCAACAGTTGCACTTGGGGGTCTCAGAGGCCTTTTCCAACCGGAATTTCACAATTCTGTGGAACATTAGAAGCCCAAACTCCTCCTGGACCCCCGTGTGGGTGATGCCCTGGAGGAGCCCACCCCATGGGGGGCCCTGGCTCTGGGGGGGATCCTGGGGTGCCCCAACTTGGCTGCCTCTCCCTCGCAGGGGGGGGTGACGGATGACAGGAGTGACGACGGGAAAGGCACATCCACGCTGAGCTTCGGAGTGAACAGACCCACCATCTCCTGCATCTTCGACTGTGAGAGCCTGGGGGGCAAAGGGGATGGGGACACCACTTCCCAGCCTGTGCCCCTGGCCTGGGGGGCAAAGGGGATGGGGGAGACCACTTCCCAGCCTGGGGGGCAAAGGGGATGGGGAAGGCACTTCCCAGCCTGTGCCCCTGGCCTGGGGGAAGCGGGGGATGGGAGAAGGCTGGAGGGGCAGGACGGGGCATGGATTTGTCCATGTGGGAATGTGATGGGCTCAGGGGAAACTGAGCCAAGACACAGCCTGGAGAGGGGTGGAAAACCATCCCTGGCTCATCCCTGATGCGTTTCCCGTTCCTCTGGCAGGTGGGAACAGGTACCACCTGCGCTGTTACCTGTACCAGGCACGGGATCTCCTGGCCATGGACAAGGACAGTTTCTCAGGTGAGCCCAGACCCACATGTCCACCTGGATCCTGGGGTTGGGAGGGGCTGGAAAACTTATCCAGGGACACCCTGGGACACCTCCCACCAGCCCAGGTTGCTCCAAGCCCCGTCCAACCTGGCCTGGGACACTTCCAGGGATCCAGGGGCAGCCACAGCTTCTCTGGGAAATCCATTCCAGTCCCTCCCCACCCTCACAGCCAAGAATTCCTTCCCAATATCCCACCCAAATCTCCCCTTTTCCAGTGGGAAGCCATTCCCTGTGTGCTGTCCTTCCATGCCTTGTCCCCAGTCCCTCTCCAGCTCTCCTGGAGCCCCTTTAGGCCCTGCCAGGGGCTCTCAGCTCTCCCTGGAGCCTTCTCTTCTCCAGGCTGGATGTGATGGAGCACAGGCAGATGTGCTCAGGAGAAGGGATGTCAGGGCCTGGTTTTGAGAGGGAAAAGTGGGCAAAGGGGATGTGAGTGCCTCTGGATCAGAGCTGGAGCTGGGACAATGTGGAATGTCCCCTGTCAGGTCATTGCTGTGTGCTGGGATCACACCCGAGGTGTGACCAAATCCCTGGAAAGGTCTCCAGGGAGATCTCCAAGTCCCTGGAGCACCCACCCCCTCCACAGGGATCCCTCAGGCACCTCCAGGGCTGTCCCTACCCACTTCCATGGGGATTTTCCAAGGGGTTTTCACGGACTTGCCCACTAGTGTGGTGGTAGGGGAGGTGGATCTGGGGTGGGTTACAGGGACACCCCCCCAAAATGGGGGTGGGAGCAGCTGGTGGGACATCCCCATTGCAGGCAGCAGGACCGCGATCCCAGTGGGATCCTGCTCCTCCCAGGGCTTGGAAAAGAGGGATGAGGGGGGACAGAAATGCCCTGGAGGGGGCAGAGCCCTCAGACAGCCCTCCCAGTGTCTGTGCCCAGCACCAGGGACTCGGCTGGGAGGGGGGAGCTCCTGCACCAGGAATCCTTCCCTTGGAAAATCCCGGCCACGGACAACCTGGCACAGTGTGGGATTGTGATCCCACTGCCCTGACAAAGCAGGAGGGGGGGGCACTGAGGGGGCTCTGCACAGGGAGACAAATAACCCTTCTGTGCACCCCGAACAAAGGGGCTTTGAGAGCTTTCCTTGGAAAAGCGGGAGAAGGGGAAGGGGGGGTTGAAAAAAGAGCAAAAAAAAAAAAGCCAATCCCAATCCAGGGTTTTTTTTTGTTTATTGTAACCATTTCTCCTTTGCTGCAGCTGGAAAAGAGTGTGTCAGTGGGAAAGGCTCTTCCCAGTGGGAAGGGTCAGACACTTCGGGTGGGAATCCAGCCCCAGTCCTTGGAAAAGGGCAGGGAGGAGGGGGAATGGTGTCCTGCTCAGCTGGCCCTGCAGCCAGGGGGCTGGGGAGGATCCTGGGATCTGCTGCCAGGGGTTTAGGGGATGTTCTGAGACCTGGATCCAGGTGTGAGTGGGGAACTCTTGGGATCTGCATCCAGGTGTGAGTGGGGAACTCTTGGGATCTGCATCCAGGTGTGAGTGGGAGGTTCCTGGGACCTTTATCCAGGTGTGTGCAGGATGTTCCATCACCTCTGGCACAGGCAGGACACCTTTGGCCCCCAGGAAAATTCTTGTGGCAGTGCAGGGTTTGGGGGTGTGGGGTGTTCCTCGGACCTGCATCCAGGTGGGTTTTGGGAACTCCTGGGATCTGCATCCAGGTTGTGTGGGGGAGGTCCCTCTACCTTCTGTACAGGCAGGACAACTTTGGCTCCCAGGAAAGCTCCCAGCTGTGTGTGGGATGTTCCTGGGATCTCCATCCAGGTGTGTGTGTGGATGTTCCAGGGATCTCCATCCCGATGCGTGTAGGGAACGTTCCTGGGATCTGGGGATGTTCCTGGGATCTGGGGATGTTCCTGGGATCTGGGGATGTTCCTGGGATCTCCATCCAGGTGTGCCGGACGTGGGGGAGCTCATGGAGAGCTGGAGGGGGCTGGGAAGTGCAGGAATGCTGGAGGAGCTGTTTGGAGCCCTGCCCGGAGGGTCTGGGGGGTTCCTGGAGGGGCAGGAGCTCCAATCCCTGTCTCCCATTCCCGCAGATCCCTACGCCATCGTGTCCTTCCTGCACCAAAGCCAGAAGACTGTGGTGGTGAAGAACACCCTGAACCCCACGTGGGACCAGACCCTGATCTTCTACGAGATCGAGATCTTCGGGGACCCCCAGGGCGTGGCCGAGGCCCCCCCCAGCATCGTGGTGGAGATCTACGACCACGACACCTACGTGAGTGGGGGCTGGCACCGCTGGCAGCGTTCCTGCCCTCGGGAATGCCGGGCTCTGACACCTCTGCGCGGCTCAGGGGGCGCTCAGGGGGCAGAGCCAGCTCTGCTCGGGGTGTCCTTGAGATCCTTCTGCTCCAAACTTGGTCCTGCAGTGGTTTATCCATCCCCTGATCCCGGTTTTTGGTCTGGGCTGAGCTGTGGGGGTGGATTCCGTGGATAGAGAGGTGGGAAGCTGCGTCTCCATCCTGTAGAGGGGCCACATGGGTCGGATTTCCCCATGGGAAAAACCAAAGCAGTCCTGGAAGTCGGGAGCATCCTCTGCTCCTTGCTCAGCTGTGCCAGGGTATCCAAAGGGCCTGGGAGTGATGGGATTTGGGGGGGTTGGGGACAGCAACTTGAGTCCTTCCCAGGAAAGCTGGGCTGGAGCCTGTCCCAAGGGCAGGAGGGATTTCAGACAGCTTGGAAGGGTTGGAATCCAACTTGGGAATGCTCAGGAACCTCTCAGGGACCTTTCTGTCCTCCCTGTTCCTCCTTCCCACCAGGAAGCAGCAAAGGCAGCTGAGGATCCCATTGCAGGGCAGAGAATGGGATTTTTAGGAGCTGCTGGTCCTGAATGCTCAGGGCTCCTGCTCTGGGAATTGTGGGATAGGAATTTCACCTCCTGTTTGAGCCCAAATGCCTGAAAAAGAGCATATCCAGCCCTCAGAATTCCAGGGAGAATCTGGAAATTATCTGGGCATCAAAACCCTTTAATTTTCTGACCTGGTTCATCCCTTGATCCTGGTTTTTGGGTGGAGGGGTCCTGGCTGAGCTGTGGGTGGGTAGAAATGGATTCCACTGGGAAAAGGGGTAGGAAGCTGCATCCCCATCGTGCAGATGGCCAAATGGACCATATGTCTCTGTGGAAAAAGCTTGGGATAAGACCTAAAGCAGTCCTGGAAGCAGGGAATGTTTCTTGGACCGAAGATCCCATTGCAGGGCAGGGAATGGGATTTTTAGGAGCTGCTGATCCTGAATGCTCAGGGCTCCTGCTCTGGGAATTATGGAGTAGGGATTTCACCTCCTGTTTGAGGCTGAATGCCTTAGAAAGGGCATTTCCAGCCCTTTTCAAGGAATTCTAGGGAGGATCTGAAAACTGGAGTCCCTGTGAACATCAAACCCACTGGAGTTTCTGGCCTGGTCCCGTCACGGTTCATCCCTCGCTCCTGGCTCTGGAGTGGTGGGATTTTGGCTGAGCTGGGGGTGTGTGGTGGTGGTGGTGGTGGATCCCTCTGGGAAGAGGGTTGGGCAGGAGGCTCCCAGTGCCTGTGTTCCCCTGCAGGGAGCAGATGAGTTCATGGGGCGCTGCATCTGCCGGCCCAGCCTGGAGCGCTCGCCCCGGCTGTGCTGGCACCCCGTCACCAAGGCAGGCAGGAACGTGGGGGAGCTCCTGGCGGCCTTCGAGCTCATCCAGAGGGAGAAGGTGAGACCCCCATCCCTCCCTCATCCCCTCCTGCAGTGCTGCTTTCCCCCTGGAGTCTCCAGACCCGGCAGATCCAGCCTTTGCCGCCTGTTGGGTGGGGTCCTCCTGGGTTGGGGCTCAGGAAGAGCCTCCTGGATTTGGCCCTTTTTGAGGAATAAAAAACCATTACACCATCCCATCCCATCCCATCCCATCCCATCCCATCCCATCCCATCCCATCCCATCCCATCCCATCCCATCCCATCCCATGTGTCACTGGGAATGTGGTCCTGCATCTCCCTCCTTCCTGGAGCTCCCAGCAGGGCCCCTGGAGCCAGGACAAGGCTCACCCCCCAGGAGGGGCTGGGAATCCTTGGGAAGGGCTGTGCCCTTCCAGGGCCTTTCGGATCCACAAAACATCTGGGTGGATTTGAGGTGCTGCTGGTGCCTCCTGGACAGAGGAGAGCCCTGGATTCCCTGGAATCCTCATGCCTAGGGTGTTTGGAGGTGGGCAGGGTGGGGCTGATGTTCCCTGCCAGGTAAGGCTGAGGTGGCAGCAGGAATTCCAATGGGAATTGTGTTTTCTCTCCACAGCCGGCTGTCCATCACATCCCTGGCTTCGAGGTAAGTCCTGACTCCTCCTTGCAACTCCATCCCTGTCCCTGCTCCTTCCCCTGCTCCCC